AACAGTAATTTGTGGACAATAAATACAACATAAAATTCACAATATGTTTTTTAAAAGGACAATAATGAAGGCAACTTAAAGTCCTTGAACAGTTATAGTGGATGTATATCTATCAAGCTTGGATTGATGTTTTTTCCACCCTCTTGTGTTCAAAAATCAATTAATGCACCTTTAAAGATGTACTAACCTGCCTTGAAAAATGTGAAGAGCTACAGTTGTGTGGTGTCCCGATTTATTAAACTGTAACTGTACAGAGGCTCCACTAAGCGATGAATAAAATTGCAGAAACACCTAATCAAACTGGAAAAAAAAAGTTTGAGAAAACAGTCAGATTTAAATAAGGGTTGGCCCCTCAAAAACCTGCATCATTCAAATGTTAAATTGGCCGTTTAACTAATGCGTAAGTAATAATGTCTCCAAGAAAAGAAGTCCAGAAGCAGTTGAATAAAAGCCCCAGAGACCAGGCTTGGAGTTCTCAAGCTTGACAACATTATGATGGGATGGTTGAACGTGGGTCTTAACATGAGACACGCACCCGGCCTGAACTCTGATGGGGGTTGGCTATTTGCTTCTTTATGTCTGATCCCAGAAGACTTGTCCTGTGTCTGGCCAAAGCTCCCGTTCTAGCCCGAGGAGACGGCCATATATCGCACACAAACAGATAATCCTGGAGTGATTGAGGTAATTGCTTGCAGTTGTGGTATGGTGTTGGGGAGGGCCCTGAAAAGGTGATGTATGTGCAGCTCCTGTTCAGTATTGATTTCAGGCCGCACTTCACAGTGGGACTCTGTGTGGCTTATATGGTCTGGAGAAGGGAGAAAGCATAGGATTTCAAAACCTAATTTTTCACACTCCGTTTGGTTTGACTCTGCTCCCCCTCACTTTAGTCCCCCCTTACTGACAGTGAGCTAAATATCTACATGGCAATTTTGGTTACAAGCAAAGCATTGGGGAGAACTGTGTACCCCCCTCCCCAGTCTTGAAACATCGACATAAAGAGCCCAACTCTTTAACTGAACTGGCACACTGCCTTCATTCAGAGCACCAGACCTTAATCTTAATTGTAGGTTCCTCTCTGATCTATCATTTGTCTTACAAACTGACAGTGGGAGATTCTTGGGCTATGAATATGTACCCACAATACTGGATGAAACAATTCTTGTTATGAAACTTTTCACTGAACTTTTTTTTTTTTTACATTATAATGACTGCCTACCCCCTATAACTTCTTGATTTGCTCCTCCAATTTGGGAGACAGAGTTTGATGGGCAAGGAATGCTGCCTGTAGAAATGTTTCTTTGTTGTATTGTCCCATTAGTCTGCTTGAGGAAATTACTATATGCTCATGATGTAACCCGGTATACCCTGTAGACTTACTTTTGCTTTAAATCAATATAATGTCAGCAGGAAGCACAACATAATATCAGTGTTGATATTTTGAGTTTAGGACAGAGGAAATGTCCTGATGTCAAATGCAGACATTTGTACTGTATCCGAGCACTGAATATCACTTACTTTCACTCACCTAATGCAGTAACTCATTTCAAGAACCCTGCCCACTGATATTCACATCAGTGGTGATATGTGGACATTTTCAGGCACCAGCACGCAGGGCTTCATTTCCTGACTTGAAAGAAAGAAAGGGGGCCGACAGTCTACTGAAGAGCAGTGATGATTAAAAAAAAAAATCCAATGAGCTTTTAAGCACCCTTAATGAAAGCAAGTCTTTATTTTAAAACTTTTTTTTCTTTTAATGCTCGGTTATCCTATGCCGTTTAAGCACAAACACTGACTTGATTTGTGTTATTTGTGATTGCTCTTTGTTGAAAGGAGAAAAGGGGCTGTGACTGCAAACTAAGAGGAAGTGTATGTTGGAGCCAAGGTCGTGCATTTGTCAGTTTGACAGATTTTCAGATAGACAGCTGTTCACAGGATGGATATCAGATCTGGATATTTGACAAATTCATCATGAATTACCTCCATGATGAGTTTTGCAGGCACTTCAGTCTCACATGGGATGTTTGGCCGCCTGTTACTGTGTGTATGGTACTCAAGGAGAGATGTACAGCACACCTATTTTTGAAGACTATTGCAGCTCCCTTACTCCTTTATTTATCACTCTCTGTTCAACCCCGACAATTTTTTTACCTGTGAACCTGCAGTATCCTGTCATTCTGTCATTTAGACGCCAAGATGCAATTCATCTCTAGTTCACTTTAGCCGAATGAATGTAAGCCACTCATCCCATGTAGCTTACCCACACATTAGCCAACCACTAATAAATATACCCAGTATCCTCAGAATTAGCACACTGCTTCAGGTTCCTGACGCTGCTGCCAACAATGATCACCATTTTCCCCAACACCACCATCATCAAGATCAGAATAATGACTGCTGAGATGGGCAATGATGTTGCAGACTACTCATGTAGCTCATCTCCCAATGGAGACAATGACAGAATATAATTCACATTAAACCAGCAATGTTTTACACTGTGTCTTTAAAATAGTTGTATAGTATAAATAGAATTGAAATTCAGTTTTGATGTAGGCCTATTTTATTCATACAGCACCTTAAAGAGACTAGTTGTAGGTTTTCTCTGCCGCTGAACGTGGCGGCTGTGCTGGCTGTGTGTGTATCATGATGATGACGAGTGAGGTCAGGTCAGAGGTCAGGTCACGTGGTGACTGTGAGAATTTAGCGGCAAAGGCGGCTCGTTGCAAAAGACACTTTTTAAAAACGTAATGGAAAACAAACGTCGGAGCAGTGGAGTAACAGAGGAATAGACGGAAAAAAGACGGAATAGAAAAGGATTCAGAGAAACTGGAATTTGGCAAACCTGCCGTTTTTGTCGACTTTTTTTTGGCTACTTGGCTTGCTAGCTTGTTAGCAAATAGCCTAGCGAGGACGATGCTAGCATCACAGAGGAGGGAGACAATAACAGCAGCCACTAACGTTTGTTCAGCTTAGCATTAGCATGAAACACAGGCAGAAGCCCTGCGACATACACCTGTTCGCCTGCCCCACCCCTCATCTCCACCTAAGTAGGTTGAGCCGCCCCACTATTTTTCCACATTTAATTTCTGTTTTCCCCACATCGCTAGAATTAAAAACGAACAGAGGACAAGGATGATGCAGCAAAGCTTGAACTCTTTATCAAGAGAGGCGGACCTCGTCAGAGATCTGGACTTTATTGTTGTGGTGGAGGAATATTCGAGGAGAAGAAGACCATCATGTGAGGTAGGCTTTCTCTCCTATTATATTCACACATTATGGACTACCCTAATTTAAGGTATATATTCCTCTCTCCAAGGTTTTGTGTTCACAATGAGAAGTAATTGACATTGGTTGGTTGGTTTTGGAAACATTTGACTATTGTATCATTGTGCCTCTATACCAGGGTGGTTGATATGGTGGAAATCCTGTATGATACAGATTACTTACATTGTTTGCTATAGGTCTACATGAGCAGAGCAGTATGATCGATTGATCTCTCTCTCTCTCTCTCTCTCTCTCTCTCTCTCTCTCTGTGTTTATGTGATTGATTGATTGATGGATGGAAGAATCTGTTTGCCTATGCTATCCAGGTACACATCGTAGGCTATTGATATTGTTGCTGCTGGCCCAGGAAAGTGTTGTCACAACCATGCATTGTAAATCCTGTATAATACAATATATCTACAGGTGTTGAAATTGTCCTTCAGGTTGTGATCATAGGCTGTAGCCTGTCAGTGTAAATCCTGTGTTTCCATGTTTCCAACAGATAGTAGCGTGCATTCAGAACCTATAATTCAAAAACCTGGGATTGCCACTGTGAGGAGAGCTGATTGGTGGCAGGGGGCCTCTAAGATTTTGTGCCCAGGGGCCCCTGCATTCTTAATCCAGGCCTGAATATTAATATCAGAACAATACACAAAGAATAATTATATAAATTGAAATAGCATACGAACATAACATTTTCCACCTATTTGACATTAGAGCACTGCTTCATATATTTGGGTACCATTCAAATATTTCTGTACATAACTGCGTACGTAGCTTAATATGCAGACACAGGTGCTGATGTATTGAATCACAGTATTGCCAGTATAAAAATCATTTTCCAAACCAAAGTGAAAATGAGGCCTGTATAAAGACAAGATGTGCATATCTGTGACATACAGTAGTTAAGTGGTGATTTGGAGATCTACAAGATGACCACAAATGGATTTCAGGAGAGCTAATGTGCACAAACTATGTCTTATTACGTAAGTGGGATCATTATACATTCTGTAGTTAGGACTGGATGGTTCAACTGCAAGGGTATGAGGTAACATACAAGCCCCACATTTGCGTTCCACTGTTAATACACTGGTTAGTTTGTGGTTGTGCCATGATGATAGCATTAGTGGTGCATAGCTCCAGTCTGACAGAAGACATTTTAGGTCTGTTATGAGAAAAGGACTGGTGGTGATGTACTGTGTGTTTTTTTAGATTTACTTTTAGACATTTCAAAATATCTTTTGAAATTATGGTGAGCCTAGTTATGTGATTAATGTCTCGCATCTGCCTGTCTCTTTATGGGCCCTTTCATGCCTTATAGTTGTTGGTTCCGTATTCCTTTCACAATCATGGAACCAGATGCTATCTTCTAGGCTCTAATTAACTAAACATCAGAATATTCAGTTCATTTACCTCACCCTTTTTATAAAATTAGTTGAGGTGTCCAACCAAAGTTTACAGCTTAGGTTTAATTCACCAATTCTTCTTTCATTTGTTCCACATTAAAATGTTTTCAAAAGATGTCCTCTATCAAAAAACAAAAGAAATATGAGCCATTTGAGAGTATTCACCCAGTCACACTGAGCTGAATGAGAGTGTGAGAAACAGACTGTTTCTGCCTGCTGTGTCAGAGGGGACCTCCTTCTTCTTCTTCTTCTTCTGCAGTCCCCTCCTACTTCCCCAAGATATAGGCAGCGCTTTAACTTAGACTTGGAGTCAATCAGAGTGGGATCTTTAACTGTGCCTGCCACCGGGTCTCTGTGCCTCAGCCCACCACATACACACTCACAGCAGTTTACACACACACACGCACATGCACATGCACATGCACGCTTGCACCGGCAAACATATGGAGTACTACTGCTTCCTCCTGCTCTGGATCTGCAGCCAGCAGTTAGGTGAGTGAAAGGTGTTTATGTAGGTGTGTTATTGATGAAGTGTGTATATGTGTGTGTGCTGTATACATCCTTACATGCTTGTGTTAGACTGTTGTATGAATCTGACCTTCTTTCTTTCGTCAAGTAGCTTTGCAGTATAATAATGGCACTCTAATTGTTAGTTATACTTTTCCAACAGACACAGGAAACTTTGACTCTGTTGCTTTTAAAGGTTTGACATAAATAGCTACTCTGCAACTTTAGGCAACTTTTTGGTTAGTATTTTAAGAATACATTTCCAACTTTTGAATTTAAAATTCAAACATGCACACATATTCTGTATTTGAAGGAATAGTAATCTCTGAATATCTTATGGGAATGAATGGCTGTCTGTGCGAATGTCATCATAACCTGACATCTTGACCCAGTATGATGGTAAGAGACAGGAAGGCTGAGCTCAGTGGCTTTACTGAAGGATATGTTGTCCCCCTCAGGTCTACAGAGGTGCTCTGTGTCTCACTGGAAGCATTCATGTTCGCTCAAATGAAAGTTGATGCTATCTTTTCACAGTCAAGTTTCCAGCGACTGGAGAGTTGTTGGTGCTGAGCCAGAGCTGTGGTCAATTACCAGTGAAATCACTATAACAGTAACACATCTAGACAGGATGAAAGAAAGAGAGAGACAGAGAGTGAATAAAAGGAACAAAGAGTCTATATCTGTATTCTTTTCAATCCCAAAGATTCAATATGGGTCACATAGATTAATATATTATATTTCTACATGTACAAGTAAAGGCAGTCAAACCTACTGTATTTTCCACATAAAATACACAGTAAAAAGTTAAGTAGTCGGTGCAGTGATACAGTAGAAATTTCTGTGTGGTTAAGTTTTGAGCTGTTTACAATCTCAACCATGGCTGTATATCAACATTATGTTTTGCTGGGTTGTTTTTTTGTTGTTGTTTTTCCCCCCAAGCATTTACTCCTTTTCAGTTATCTCCCTGAGATTAATACTGAAGAAGAAACTTTGAGGGTCTACAAGACTGGATTTTTTCTTTTAGAAGAAGAAATGCATTCGTCTTCGAATTAGTTTGGTAAATAATACAAAACTGGAGGAGAGGAAATGTCTATTGTAAATATTTGGTTTGATTTTGGAATTTGTTGGAACTTAGTTTTGGACTGATGCCACAGTGAGGGAGACACTGACCTTGTAGCTGGAGTCTGCGGAGAAAGACTTGATGCTGGCTGTGGTGGGACATGTTTTGGCAGGGACATAAGAAGAAGGCTGCATTTTAGTCTGCTGTTTGTGCTGTGTGTGAGAAATCCCGGGACCTTTGGACCAATGACCCCCATCCGGATGGAAACAGCGGGTTGACTTTACCTGAAAAACACTACTGTCTGACATCTAAGTAAAACCTACAGTTTTAGTTCTTCCCGTTAGAACATTGTCCTCTTTTCATACATTAACCAGATTTGGCACATGTCCAGCAGGATATATTTTCTTATTTAATCCTTTTAATAGACGTTCAGTGTGGGAAGTCAATGCAGTGATGATGATGATGCTATCATGAAGAGTTCCCGCTATGATTTATATATTTATGTGGAAGGTGAAGAGTGCAGTCAAAATGACAGTGACAAAGCTAAACAATTACTGACATACTAGAAATGAGCTTTTATTAGAGGCACTCTGAAATACAAAATCTATGGTCCATTAAGGCAAAAATGAAAGTATGCCAGATTCAAAGTGTAGTCTATTAAATAAACAATAATACTCTATGGGGTGTTCTGATAATAAATCTTGAGGCCAAGGCCATTATTTCCTAATGAGTATACCTCAACTTGCATGGACGCAATTACATCATGGCCACTTCCCAACAGAAATTTGGGAGCCTGTGTTTGCATCATCATCCACATTTTTTGTTTTTGTTGTTATAATACATGCTTGCTGTTTCATTACTGAGTTAAGTGAAACCATAGCATAGAGCCTTATATATCATGCTACAGTAAAGCTATCTGCCTCACTGTCACCTGTACCTTATGGTTAGCTTAATATTACTAGCTGCATTACAGTGTTTAGCCATTAGGGGACACTTTTTCCTCATATAGTTGCATGGCTAACATGGAGCAAAATTAGTAATCAATTTGAAGGAATTATTCTGCCTCCTGATAAATCTTTGTAGGTCTGTTTTGATTTTCTGCTCCAGCCTCTTGTTGACCCTTTCCCTATGCAGACTTTGTTGCTTTATAATAATGTCTCCTAACATCCTTCTTTGCTATCAGTGGGCAAGTCTCCTAATTCCTACAGCCACTAGAGGGAGTTGACATTTTAACCTAAATGTATGTTTTCTGTATTGGGGCATTTGCTAAAACAAGTGCTGTGTTTTTGTCTTAGGAAGACAGTCTGTTTTCTTTTTTTCTTTTTTTTCTTATTATTTTTTTGGGCCTTTTATGGCTTTATTGACAGTGCAGTAGAGAGAGACAGGAAATGGGGAGGCAGAGAGAGGGGGAATGACATGCAGCAAAGGGCTTGTCCGATGCGGGACAGCGAGGACCTTAGCCTCTGCACATGGGGCGGATGCTCAACCAACTGAGCTACTCGATGCCCCAGACAGTCTGTTTTCTAAAGAGAGAGCAGTGGGACTGAATAAAACTGTAAATGTACTTAAAACAAAACCAATGGCTAAAATGGCCATTGGTTTTCTTTGTAAGGTATCTTAACTGATTACAATTTGTCCTTGATTCAGATGATTGTAGTTAGGTGAGGATCCTAATGAGGAATTCATTATTTCTTTCATGTTAGCAGATGTTTGAGCTGTGTCAGCTGCTTTTTTGATCTCTGTGTCCGGATTCTGTTTTGTCCAGATCTGTACTTGTATGTGATAGCTGGTGGTATCCATCCTGTATTGCCCTGCCATAGAGCCATGGTTTGTTTGGCACAGAGGGTTAACAGCTTGTTACGCTGTGCCCAGTTGGCTGTTGTGTGTTGGGAACATCTGGTTTTAGATACCCCATGCCTCTCGGAGTATTTACATTGGCGTATGGTAATAATGATATAAGGTGCCAAAATGTTTGAAAGTATATTGTCCACTGTGAAGTATCTTTCCAACGAAAACCATTGTAATGGAAACCCAGAATGGATCGATGGACAGTACATTCTGTTGCTTTTGAAATTTATTTTATGTGGAGACTCAGTTCTCATATTTGTTAAAGTCTCATGCCACAGGCCCCATAAAACCAGCCAGATGCAGTCATAAGGCAGTGTCTATACACTCACACACACATAACAAAACTGATCATAAAGAAAAAGGAAACTGCATCATGCATGTCTGATATGAGGATATCTCTGAGCCAGCAGTTTGCACAACACGCTCACACGGCTGCTCTTTGTCAGTGGATCTGTGGTGGAGCTCCCACAGCTTGGTGTCGGGCCAAAGGCAGCAGCGAACTAATGTGGGTCGCACCGGCAGCCACCGGCCTGAGGTTTATTTATCTGGGCATAGAAGCCGGTACACAGGAAACTCAGCAAGACTCTCGACATTGCGTTAGAAGCTGCTGATATTACTGGGAATATTAAATTGCTGTGCCACATTAGTAGCTTGAAATGGAAACTGGATCACCTCCATTCTCATGCTTTCACCGTTGACACGTTATACCTTATTTCTTGGTCAGACTTCAGCCTTCCTGTGATCGCATCTTGGGAAATTTATTTTCAGTGCTGAAGCGTCATCTTAGCATTAAATCAGCTACTGTACCAGAACATTTATGCGCTCCAGCTGAACAATGATGGAGAAAGTCCAGACTGAGACAGTTCACTGCTGTCCATTCGTAAAATGATTTAGGCTGCACCACACTGTCAATAGTTACTTACTGATTTTTATTTATTTTTCATACACCTATCTGTTCCAAACCATCTATTTTCAGCCGCCACCCCTTTTATGTTTCTCGATAAACAGAAACTTCAGGAGGATATTTGGTGGCAGGATGAAAGACCAGCTGTACATGTGAACCATTCATACTGCAGGAAATGAGCAATGTGGAGAACGTGTCAATATTTACATGAAGAGCCTGCATGGCAGAGATGGCTATTTATTTTAATTGAGGTTTTCACGAAACAGAACAAATGGTCTTTGGTTGTGCCAATCAAGGTGTGATATACTCCTGGGCGCTTGACAGTATACAATGAATGACTTATTCCCTCTGTTGCTGTCACTCCACTGACATAATGTCCTGTGGTAAAATTGTGGCATGACGAAAGTGACTGCAGTCCCAGTTTCAGTCCCAGGTTTACAGACACTTGATAAAGAACAGTGGGATAAAATAGTTAGTTCGCTGTTTGTTTAGACAGCCTATCAACACTCCTAAATAGTCACTATCTGAGGAATGCAGACAACTTCACATTTCTGTTGAGACCATTTTTCTTACAGCATGCAGCTGCTGTGACCTCTTTTCTGCATCAAAATGCAAACGACTACACAACCACACAAATAAAACCTGTCTGCTGTGAAGCAAAATGAAGCTGAGTTGCAGCTGTACCTTTTTAATTTTGGAAAATAGACGTAACATGGCATATGTTTATAATATACAATTCAATTTAAATTGACTTGTTGATGCTATAAAACACAATTCACTCATCAAAATGAACCATAACACACTCAAACTGGTTCTGCAGGCTTATGAACATAACTGGAAGTACATGCAGCAAATTGTGCAAATCAGTTAAATAAGAAAGAAGTTCTACCATTAGTCATTTATTGCCAAATACAAACTGTATAAATATATAAAAAATATTGTTTAGATTGGCTATTGTCCAAAATATTCTGTGATCCATTTATCAATGCAATCTATCCATCCACAAAACAACAAGGAGTCAACTGTAGCTTTACATACCAGTTACAAAGTTTACATTACCAATTAAAAAACAGTTTCACAATCCTGGGTATAACTGGCTGTAATTTGAACTCATCTGTTATTCACTGTGGGTTAATTTGAATTTTATATGTTTTCCAACTTTGTTGAGCATTCCTTCCTTGTTTACATTTAACTGAAATTCCCCTCGCAGAGAAAAAAAGGCTCACTTGACTTGACTTGACCCCAGAGCCTCACAGATGGGGAGTGAGCTTTGAGCAGACGTTTAGTGTGAGAGTGTGAGAGCAAGTGATTGAATAAATCCAGCAGTGTGTGGACAAGAGCCACAGAGATATAAGAAAGTGTGTGTGTGTGCGTGCGTGCGTGCGTGCGTGCGTGCGTGCGTGCGTGCGTGCGTGCGTGCGTGTGTGATATGTTGTGGTGCTGAAAAGCAGAGGCTTTTGTGTTCTCAGCTCAGCTGTCCAGCTCAAACTGTGAGAAAGCCATTTATTTTTACACAATACTCTTCATCTACAAAATAAACCACTGTGTCCCATTAAACATGAAATAAACTTGACTTTCCCTCAAACTTTCTTTTCTTCATGCTGTTTTTTTGTCTCTGTGACAGTTCTTAATCTAAATTGGTATATTTTGGGATCAGTGACCTCCAGTGTAAAGGCCAACGTGATTCTTAACCTTACAGTAGCTGACACATCAGTGGAGCAACACTGATCAACAGACACCCTTGCGATAGGTCTGGCAACTGGAGAAAACAGAGATCAGCAGGAGATTAAGTAGAAGACGGATGAACGGAGAGAGATAGATCGAGAGGAAGAGAGTGGTAGACAATTATGTTTTTTTCCCCTTCTCCTCTGCCAAAAGGAAAATCTCATCACCTCCATGTCCTCACACAGAGTCCTCCTCTTTTGATGGGAATTTAAAAGTCAAACGATGCTGTCACCATTAATAAGCCATAATGGGTAACTTGGTGACATGCAAAATCTGAAAAATACTTTCTCTGATCGGTATTTTAATTGAAAACAGACATTCACTGCTCTTTTCTACTACCTGGTGAGATGTCCAAAGATGTGAGAGAAAAGTGCACAATCAGGAGAACAGCTTCACTTTGATCAGGTCCCACAGCAGCTTTTACTTCTTACCATTTTACTACATGTCAGGTTACACTTCACCAGCTATCAACTGCAACAACAACACACATCTCATTGCTGAATCCCTTTACCCATTGTATTATTATAGTTGCAAGTAATTAAGCAGTGATACAGTGCAGGCCTTTTCAGCTCCCTCACTGCTGAACAGATCTGATATCTTGGATGTAGGCCTCTCACATGTATACGTTGTGATGAGACATGTCAGATGAGTCACTTTGATACTATGCTGCTGAACCAAAACTCCTGGTTCTGCAAATGTCTGATGGAAGAATATCAGTTAAACGTGAGAGACAGCTCAGCTGCTCTGCTTATACAATTAATATTTGTTTCCTTAAGAAGGCAGACTGTGTTTAGACTGCTGCAGGGGGACAAACAGACACAAGACAGTGTGGGGTTATTTTTAAAGTTTAGTAAGGATGACTTGCTGCTGTGTGTTGCGTTTAGGCCAGATGCTGAGGTTTGATCATTATTGATGTCATGTGTGTTTCTTTCAGTACAAACATCCATAAAATTGCTGAGATACGACCATGTGGTACTGAAAACTAGATGTTCTGTACATATTATACGAATGTTACAGAACTAGGTTGTGAACTTAAAGGAGCTATTTGTAAGTTTTGCTATTCCTGCATAACCAACGTTAGCATTAACAACTGTTTATTTACTAGTATCGAAGAACCGTTGTGAGTTCAGCATCATACATCATTCGTTTACTCACCAACAGCTGTCTCCAGCTGTGGAAAGCAACACCAGTGTTAACTCTTGTCTCTATCACGTCTTAGTTAGCACGCTAACCAGCTACCCCCGGCCACCTCATCATTTCCAATAGCAACTCACTGTAGCCTCCAATCTGCCCTGAAGACTAACGCTGCTGAGAGGATGTATTATAACCTCTTGTCTTGTAAACACAATGATGGCCAAAGCTCTTGTCAAGCAACAATTGGAAGGTAACCACGTTCAGCGGCAGAGAGAACTTACAAATAGCCCCTTAAAAGGTAATTTATGGCAGAAATTTAAAGCTCTTCTTTAGACAGTGCTGATGAAAATTGTTTTGTTTTTCTTCAAGGGGTCCTTGACTGCTTCAACATTGACACAAAGAAACACAGGATCATCAAAGGCCCTAAACAAGCCCAGTTTGGATACACTGTTCAGCAACATGTGGCTGCTGGAGGAGAAAAGTGGTAAGGGACTTATTTGATTTACACACTACTACTATGCAAAATATTATAGCTTGTTGGAATTTTACACCTAGAAAACACTACAATAATTCAATTTCCTATTCTGCTGATCATGGCCTGTCTTTCCTTGGCAAACATTGTGTTCTTTACAGTCAAGCCTTTGTTGAGTAATTCTGAAAATCACACACAGTTAGCAATGTCAGCCTTCATTATGGAAGTTTTATGTGTCTATTATACTTTCTTCAGCAACTGGAAAAACTATTGCACTGACATTATTAAGACTTCCAACATCACAATGAGTACTTAAATTACAACTATCTATATTTTATGACATAAAACTTAAGTATCTCTAATCGTGATGTATATTTTTTGCTTCTGCAAACCTGCCAGAATTTACATTAGAGATCTATGGCTAAGATTAAGAGGTCAAGTACATTATAACTGTAAAACACATGCTGACAAGCTGTAGTGCTGACAGACTGTCTGACTTGGCGGAGATACAATCGGATGTCTCTGTTTTTTTCCCAGGAAAGATAGTGATCTATTGTACCTGTCTTGTGGTGTGCAAAGTTTCCTCCCATTAATTTGTGCTTGCAAAACAAACTGGGGTTCTGAGCTGGATACCTCACATTCATCATATTACCTCATAGCACAAACTGATTCCTGATGCACACTATTATTAGGCCAACTGGCACCGCGTGGTGGCCAAAATTAGTTCCTGGCATCCCCAAAAATGTCTGGTTGCAAGCACTATAATATCGCCAATGCCAGCTGTGCTTCTGTGTGGTGTGTGTGGGTGTGTGTAAATCATAAATTCTGTTTATATATATTTTAGTTATGCATCTATTTTTTTTTTTAATCTGACCTCATTGACTTCCAGACTGGCTTCAACAAAAATAATGACATTGGCTGTTTGTTTAAATGCTTAAAAGAATTTTTGTTTCCAATTTTCTGGAAAACGACATCTTGAGAATAATGACTGTCCCCGCTGAGTAGCTTCATTTGTGGATGGTTAATTGTACAGTGCATGTGGCACTAGACCATTGCTCACATCCTGTCTTCCTCCAACAATCAACTTTGTTTTAATCCTGAAAGTTAAATTCAAAATAATCAGGTCTTTCCCTAACCATATGCACAGTTTCAGTCGACTGAGGCCGTATTCAGACAGACAAAAGCACTGAGTGAAGAAATGCAGCCGACTCATTTGTTTGAATAGAACCACTGTGTCGCAGCAGGGATGCTTATGCACAGGGGTCCTGCAAATAAACTCAAGGCTCTCTGGGAAAAAAAAAAGAAGAAAAGTCTAGCTCAGTTTTCACAGCAACACAATGCATTGTTATCTTGAATAGCGCTGCATAGGCCAATCAAAAACATACAAGTAAACATTTCTGGTACTTTGTAGTGTGCCTCAGGGTATCTGTTCAACAATACCTAATCTTAAACTAACTTCAACTTGATGCAGACTCCACTGGATAAAACATTTGTTCAGCAAGTGATTATCAAACTATGCAGTGGGAAACTTCCTGTGATAGCTCAGAAATAGCTCATTTTTGGAAAAGGCATTGTTTTGGAAGGCAAATACAAGTGACCTATTTTGTTGTTTAGGGATTAATATTTTACTAATGCTTCCCATGAGCACAATTTATAAGGTCACAACATAACAGAACCCAATGTAGATATTAAAAGCACTGCCTGTATGCACAAACTGACTCTGAATATGTCATCGCATCGTGTCACGTAAAGCAACATTATGCAGCTATTTTTTCCTTAGAATTACAGCGTCAAAATCATTTTGATGGTACACTGACTTGTAGTAGGGAGAATGGACCTCTTCCATTCCCACTCTGTGCCCTGAATTAAGCCTTGAAAGTTTGCAACCTTGCAAAACCATGTCAGCTAGCTTGTATTAATAAAAGTGTTGAATGTGTACTATGTGCAATATAGCCTATATCACGTCGCCAGCAACATCTCATTTGATTGTGCACATACTCCACATTCAAATGCCTAGCAAACAATGTATATGGGTCGACATGTTGTTTTAGCTGGTGTAAGCTGTCCACGAGTTGGGGGTCAAGGCACGATTTGAATTTGTGACAATGGTGTAAAAGTGAATCTCACTCTAAAACTGTAGGTGCGCCTAGTTGCAAAAAAACAAAACATTTCTGCATAATAGGGCTTTTATCACATCTCATTGCCCAATCCATAGCAAAAGTGCTGCTGTGCTAACAATGAAACCAATCTGCTGAATATGCAGAAAATATCATACTTGGCTTACTGTCCAGTGCTGATTATTTTTAATGTTCCTCTGGCAAATGTTTCCATCCTCCATCAGCCTTGAGAAGGACATGAGGCCTTGTGTGTGTGTGTGTGTGTGTGTGTGTGTGTGTGTGTGTGTGTGTGTGTGTGTGTGTGCGTGTGTGTGTGCGTGCGTGCCCCTGTGTTCATGTGTGGAAGAGAGACAGTATTGTATATGTATTTATATAAAGACGCTTTAGATTGTAGAACTATAGTGAAATAACCATTTTTGCTGGTTAGAATCAGGTGCAGGTTCAGATCAGGATAAGTGTTATGATTCTGATGATTAAAGGATGTCTGGTGATTTTTTTATTTATTTTTTTTGAAATTGTCAGCAAATCCAAAACCAACCAAACCAACAATGAACTGTTTCTACTAATATTCCTCTGTGCCAAAGGCCTCAATAGAAAACACATCGATGAGCCACACTGTGTGACTCAGTGATGTGTTTCTTCATTATAATGGACATGGGCACTGTAGTAAATGAGTAAGGCGATCCAGGAAACACCATCCTGCTGTCATCACACCAAATGTGTATTACTCTATGGCTAAAAATAGTCCCCCACAAATGAATAGTTTACTTGTGATTGAGTAAAACTTGGCATAAACAGTGCTCTGTATTTTGTATCAATAAATAAAGCATTTAAAATAAAGGATAAATTCATGACCTGTTGACCTGCAGTAGGGATCACTCACAGGGCTTGGGAGTCAGAAAGTATTGAGATACAGACTAACACATGGTTGATTTTTGGACTTTTCGTATTATTTTTGATAATAATAAAAGTATAGACTCACCCTGGCCTTGTCCTTTAAGACATAGGTTAGTGTCTTGGGAATGCAAATGTATGTTCTTAGTGTGCAGGAAGGGACAATGACAGACAAGAAGGATGAAGTGTTGCCAGCTCACAGAAGTCAAAGTCCTTCATCACAAGACACTGTTGATTACACTGTAAAATTTAAACTTCTTTGTCATTCTGAGCAACCTTCAGCCAACCATGTCTACCAGAATTGACGAGGTCTGATGAGGCTGACATGTGTGGAATAAAGGTCACCAGAGACACAGACTCGACTGAGGTAAATGTCTGAGAACGAGGTGAAAACATTTGCAGTGGAAGAATAGTGCAGCATAGACTGTGCAAACAACACACGGCCAAAAGGAGCTGGAGGGACCAGGATTTTGGCATCTTTATTAGGTGTTCAAACATCTTGTATAAAAGTGTCTTTATTCATAAGCAATAAAATAGTCATAGTGTGGAAGAACACTAAAGTGGTGGAAATTCTTCTAATTGATTCAAGAAAAGAAAACATTTTTTGTAAATGTGTCCTATTTTTATATGTTAATGCTGTAAAGTGTGGTTTCAATATTGTGTCAATACAGTATTCTGTCTAGCCAAACCGACTGTGACCCACAGCGCTGAGTCTCCCTCTCCTTTTATACCTTGGTTATGACTGGTCTGTCTGCTTAGTAGACAACTTACTCATCCAGCTGACTTTACTTTAAAAAGGCCTGTTAAGTCAGTGCAGCGGGGTGCGTAGGTGTGGGTATGTGAACACACAGCTGCATGCACAGAAGACTGTATATTTGTGTGTGTGTCTGTGGGAGTATTTGTGTGTGGTACATAGTCTGACAGTTCTCAGCTGGCCTAAGGAATGTCGCTGGATGTGAGGCTAGTGGAAAAACATTACATTATCGAGTGTGAAAGGATCATTAAAATGATTAGAAATAATCATATTTTCAGTTTTGACAAGAGTTGATCTGGTTCATCCACACTGAACTTCGCCACAGTCATTACTGATGCTCTAAACCAAGGATACTGCTGTAAAATGTTAATCTGCAGAGAAAGTTGTAACAATAGCTGACAAATGTGTGAAGTATAAAGTATGAAGTAGCATGCACTTGCACTTACTTGAGTACTTTACAGTTCTTAAGTAAGCACAAGTACTTGTTGTTTTCCAGCACTGTCAGTGATGCTTAGTTGTAGAGTCGTGCTTGGGATACGAGCAGTGATGACTTTAACTCAACACATCTGTCACTTTCATGTTTTTCAGCTAAAATGTTTCTGAGGGTTTTATGTTTCCCCAGATATTGAATGTGTTGAAGAGGCAAATATTTCTCCACATTAGGGCAGAATCTGCTCTTTTTTTTGTTTCAAGTAAATGAAAATCCATCTTTGAAGTGTCAGACAGCAACTCTGCAGCAGGACATGTGCTCACCAAGTGTCAGCACACTTCAGGGGGGGGTTTTCTGCAGATGGTGTGGGTTTGTGTGTTTATCCAGATTCACACTAAGATTTGTTAATTAAAAGCTGTTTTGAGTGATACACATACTATAAATTGCAATAGACAGTCTATGTTGTCTCTGGCTATCTAGCATTTTAACGTTCTACCCTCCACTTCTCCCTCAAGTGGTTTCACCTCAACTGAGCTTTCAAGAGAATTTAAATCGTTACGATTACTAACGTTGCCCATGAGCATCTGTGCCAAACTGCAGCAATGTCAACTTTTCCAGAATTGTCTGATTTCTGAAAACCCTCAGCTCTGTGTTTAGATAGGAACAGGATCACAGCTGGAAAGTGACTCTGTAAAAAAGAAAAAAAAAAAAGAAGCATTTTATGACCCAACCCTGAAGTAAGACAGACATGCAGCTAAAGTCAAAAAGCTTTCTAGGAGGACTAAATTAAGAAAGTAGAGTTTGTTGATTCTAGTGT